TGCCAGGCTGGTGTCCCTGGTGCCATGTCAGTGTCCCTGGTGCCAGGCTGGTGTCCCTGGTGTCAGGCTGGTGTCCCTGGTGCCATGTCAGTGTCCCTGGTGCCAGGCGGGTGTCCCTGGTGCCATGTCAGTGTCCCTGATGCCAGGCGGGTGTCCCTGGTGCCAGATCAGTGTCCCTGATGCCAGGCTGGTGTCCCTGGTGTGGCCAGCACCTGGCAGAGACCCCACAGAGCAGGCAGTGGGCTCAATCTCCATCCACCCACAGAACTGCTGGCTTCAGGCACTTCTGCTCCAGCCCTGCCTGTGCTTCAGGCTGTGCCCACCTCACGGGGCTGCTCTTGGGGGTGACCCTTGCTGGGGTAACCCTGGGCATGTGGGTTTGGCTCAGCCTCACTGGTGCCTGGGCAGAGGGGCTCACTCTGCTGAAATGCAGGGACAAGGGGAGGACTGGGTAAACATCACCCTGGCAGGTCTGTGCATCCGTGTGAGGATGTTCTCCCTCAGCTCGAGCCAAGTTTGCTGCTTCCCTGGCACTGGCATTCCCGGTGCCAAGCCCTGGCCCTCCCCGGTGACACCTCAGCCTGGGTTTTTCCATCACAGTCCCTCGTGCACTCCCCCCTGCCTCCCTGTGCCCCCTCGAGGGGCCCCTGGCCGTGCCCTGGGGTGGGCAGGGTGCTGCAGGGAGGTTCCTCCTCCCGCTGCCTTCCCCCAGCAGCAAATATGGTCAGGGAGCGAGTGCCGCTGTCCCGRCTGTGCCATCCATGGCTGGCAGTGCCCGGGCAGCTGGGCAGTGTCCCTGCCCTGCCACAGGGACCGTGGGCCAACGGGACACCGTGGGTGGGAGAARGGGGAATTCAGTCCTTGGATTCATGGCCACGACCTGGGAGCTGCCTCCCTCCCCCTCAGTGCCTCAGTTTCCCTTTCCTCCTGCCTCACCGTGGGCACGCAGATCCCTCGTTCCAGCCCTGCCCTGCCCAGGGCTCAGCCCCCTGTGCTTCCCTTCCAGGAGCTGGGCTGGCTCCTGCCCCCGAGGTGCCCGAGGGGAGCCAGGTGACGAGTGACTCCGAGGGGGAYGCGTTCTGTGACACCCTGGAGCAGATGGAGCCCGAGAAGGTACCGGGGGCAGCACTGGAGGCTCTGCCAGCCCTGCCCTGCCTTGGACATCTCTGCACAGCACTGCCAGCCTGGGAGCCTCCCAGAACCCACAGGGACACCCTCCTGCGCCTGCTGGGCTTCGTGTCACTGCTGGAGCCCGTCCCTGTCACAGGGGGATGCTGAGGAGCCCCCCATTCCTGTTCTGGGGCTCTGCTGGGGCACTGGGCAAGCCCCACATGGCTGCCACCAACCACCTTCATTGTTCTGCTGTCACTGCTTCTGCTGCCACCGGCCRTGTTTGGCACTTGAGGTGCCATGGTGAGGTCTGGTGGAGCCCGGGGGAGGAGGGAGGAACCCTCCCCCACCTCTTTTGCCATCTCAAGCCTGGACACCTCACTGGCTTCTGGAGCTCTGTCAGCTCCCAGGSCAGCTGCTGGCTGGTGGGGTTCAGCTGCACTCAGCCCCAAAAATGCCACCACAAGGCAGAGAAGGACTCCACTGCTGCCCTGGCATCACCCTCCACGTCACCAGGGAGGGGAGTGGGGGTCTCAGGGCCCTTCTCTCCCGTCTCACAGGCTGCGCAGGCGCGGGAGCTCACCCCAAACGGGCTCCAGGCCGGGCCTGAGCCCCCGGTGCCCCGCAGTGCTGGGCAGGGCGAGCAGGGCGAAGGCAGAAGAGCCGAGGGGAGCAGCAGCACCGAGCTCACAGCCCTGGGCTCCGACAGAGGTGGGTGCAGAGCTCATCCCTGCGCCCCTTCCTGCTGCTCCCACACCTCCCCCGGGCTGGGCTGGGGGCTGGCGGGGGTTGGGGCTGCCTTCATCCCCAGGGATCGGGTCTGGCTCCAGCACCCAGGGCTGGGTCATGGTAGCTGAAGGAAGTGACAAGTGTCCTGTCCCTGCATCCCTTGTCCCCAGGCAGTTCAGTGGCTGTACCCCTCAGGACACAGCCCCTCCTTTGCCCACTCCTTGCAGTGGTGCTGATTTGCCCGAATTGGGAGGATGCCCCGTGGGCCCTTCCAGGCAAGGAATGCAGGTCCCTGGGTCCCTGTGCCCAGCTCCTGGCCCTGGTCCAGCCACATCACCGGTGCCTTCGGATGTGGGYGGTGCCAGGGCTGAGCTCTGCCCAGGAGGGCAGCGGGTGACACTGGGCCCTGTGCCCTGGAGACCTTGGGGACACCCCGTTACAGCAGTGCCACTCACCCAATGCCACCCACCCCTGACGCTGGTGTCTGGGGAGCACCAGGCCTCCAGCTGTGCCATTGCAGGGAGAGGACAAGGAGCCTCCTGCCACCCTCTGTGCTGTCCCCAGACATATTGGGCTGCCCTGGAGTGGCACTGCCACCCTCACTCACGGGATTGGTGCCATTGCCTCACCTGGGCACAGCCCACCTGTGTCACCCTTTCCCCTGTCCCTGTTCCCTTCCGGGCCGCTTGACCTTGGCAGTGAACTTGTACTGAGGCCCGATGAGGCTGGGCTGGGCTGTCCCCAGGGGCTGGCACGGGGCTGGCAGCGAGTCCCTGTGTCCTGGATTAGCCAGGTGTTTGCCAGACTGGTTTGGGGCTTTCACTGGGCCCGGGGGAGGGCTGGGAGGAGCTGCCCTGGCCCTGGGTGACCTTCAGCAGGTGTCCCAAGGTGACCCACATGCACCACTGCACCCACCCCGTTGGTGGGCTGGCCACCCACTGCCAGTGGCCCATGGCCCTGGGGACATCTGGGTGCTGGTGGGGCTGTGGCGCTGGGCTGGGAGCCACTGTGGCGTGGGCACCCCGTGGAAGCCACTGCTCGCTGCTGGGTGACGGCACAGGGACCCTCGGGCGGTGCTCAGCCTGCCCTGCCAGCCGTGTGCCATCGCTGTGCCCGCAGATGTCCGGCTGGCCRGGGGCGACCCCGGCAGCACCCCCGAGCTGGCCCCGGGGCTGGCGGCCGAGCTGGAGGCGCACGTGGCCAGCACGGTGCGGGCGCTGCAGGAGGAGCTGCGGCGAGTGCGGGAGMGGCTGGGCCGGCTGGAGACGCTCAGCGCTGCCCAGGTACGGCCAGGCCAGGGCTGGGGGCMGGGCTGGGACACGGCACCGGCCKGGCRGGGACAGCGGGGCTCGGCTCGGGCCCTGGCACAGGGCTGGCCCAGCTGTGGGGACCGGGGACCCCCACGGTTGGTGACACATCCTGGCAGGGCCGAGGCTGGCACTGCCCTGATCCGGCCTGTGGTGCAGGCAGGGAGCTGCTGCCCCTCAATCCTATTCCTCATTCCCCTGCCCTCCTCATTCCCCCTGCCCCTCTCATTCCTATTACCCCCTTCATTCCCTCCATTCCCGTCATTCCTGCTGCCCCCCTCATTCCCATTCCCCCACACTGCCATTTCCCCTTCATTCCCACTGCTCCCCTTCATCCCTGCTGCCCCTTTATTCCCACTCCCCTTCATTCCCACTGCCCCCTTTATTCCCATTCCCCTTTATTCCCATTCCCATTCCCCATCATTCCCACTGCTCCCCCCATTCCCTCTGCCCTGGGGTCCTGGCCCAGCTGCACCATTGGGATCCCTCACAGGAGCCTTGCACGGACTCGCTCTGGGCCATTCCCTCCCTCTCACAGGGACACAGGGGCTGGAGAAAGGGGGGTGCCAGCCCCACCTGCACCCCAAACCCTCTCCTGTCTTGCAGGGGGATACGGCTGGGATAGACCCCGGCCCGGCACTTGCTCCACAGGTGAGTTGAGAGTGGAGGCAGCGCTGTGGGGTGGCTCTGCTGTCCCCCTGCCTCACAGGGCCTGGGGACACAGTGGGGGGAGGTCAGAGAAGGGACCCTCATTTGGGGAGCAGGTGACATCCGTGGGGACACGTCCCCAGGCCTGGTRGTGTTGATGCAGAATCTCCAGAGGAGGAGAAACATGACCAGGAGGCCTGAGCAGTGGCAGTAGCCTCTTTCAGTGGTGGCCTGGGGGGTGTTTGGTGGCAGCAGTGACACCTTTGTCCCCTTCCCCACGCTGCCTCTCTCTGTCCCCTCGCCAGGCGATGTCCCGGTGGCGCCTGACCGTGTCCCCGCGCACGCTGCTCTTCTTGGCCACCTGGCCCTTCGTCACCCAGTGGCTGCTGCGTCGCTGGCAGGGCAGGAAGAGGTGACCACCGCGTCCCCGCCGCCGCCGCCACCCCTTCTTCCCCACCCCGCTTCGCAGGCGCCGGGGAAGCGCCACGGACCCACGCGGGCATCGCCTCACAGCCACGGTGCTCTGCGGGCCCCGCACCGACACTCAGGRCCAGCACCGGGAGCGGGGGTGGCATCGCCCCGCACCGGAGCCCGGGCGGTCACCCCGCCGCCGCCACGCACAGACGGACCGGGAGCAGCCACGGGCCCGTCCCCGGCCAGCGGGGCCGCGGGGTGCTGGCACATCATCCGAACCTGCCTCAATTAAAGTTGCCTTTTCGGTCCAGCCCCGCTGCCTGTGCCCTGCGAGGGGAGGGGACTCGGGCCCGGTCACTGTCACCCCCCGTGGTCAGAGGGGCACGGTGGCGGCTGCCTGGCCTTGTSCTGTCCCCTGACCCCAACCTGTCCCCGGCCGGGTCCCATCCCCACCCGAGGGGRGYGGCGGTGTCCCCCTGTGCCACCGGGCCCGTGCCGGTGCCGCCCCCGCCCTGCTCAGGTGACGGCGGGAGGGCACCCGCAGGGACATTGGAGAGGGGAGGGAGCGCTTGGGGACCCTCGGGACCCCCGGGCCCGGGACCTGGCGGTGCCACCCGGGGSTCCCCGGTGCCGCTCCCCTCGGGCYGGGGGGGCYCTGCCGGTGTGGGGGCTGGGCAGGGCAGGTTCCCCCCGGCTGGTGACACAGCGGTGACACAGATACCCCCCGTTCCGCGGGCTGTGCCCCGCCCGGCCGTGGRGCCTCGGGTCCCACAGGGACCCCCCTGTCCTGTTCCCCGACACRGATCCCCCGTAGCGCCCCCAGGGCCGCCCCCCGCCCCCGCTCCGTCTCCGTGTGTCCCCATGGTGTGTGTGCCTCAGCGGGGACCCCTCAACCCCCCCAAGGCCGTGGGGCACCCCCGCCATGGCTCCCCCAGCCCAGCCCCGCCCCCCACCGAGGGGCCCAGGGGGACATGGCCACCGTGGGTGGGGGTGGCAGGTCCAGGAACTGGGCCAGGATCAGTACTGGGACCGGCACAAGGCCCGGGACCTCCCCATCCCCCTTTTTTCCCCCACACCGCAAACCCCCAGGCTTTGGGAGCGCAGCTCCGCACCGCCCCTGCCAAAAGGGACGCGGCGCCTTTAAGAAGGGACTTCTTTCCGGTCAGGTTTGTTTACATGTCCCTCCGCCAAGTGCAGTACCGCCGCACCCGTCGTAGGGCCCGCATCCTTCCGCCCGCCCCTTTCCGCCAACCCTGCGTATCCCCGGAGCCCCCGCCGGGCATCCCCTCCTGGCCTGGCCCGSTCCGGCCCGGCCCAACCCCCCCGGTCCCGGGGCCGCAGCGCCGCCGGTGGCGCCTCCGCCGCTCAGGGACTCTTTCGGGCCGTCCCACGGTCCCGCGGGGGGGGGGGAGGGCTTGGGGCGCGCGCGCTGCCCTCGGCCCGGGCCTGAAGGTCGCGGGGCGCGCGCGGCCGCGCGCACGGGGACTCCCCCGCCGCGTGGTACGGCCCGTTCCCGCCCTCGCCGCCTCGCGATTGGTGGCGCCGCGCGCGAGTGACGTCCGTCGCKGCCAATGGCGGCCAGCCCCTGCAACGGCCAGGGGGCGTGTCCCGGCGAGCGGCCCCGCCCCCCGCGCCCGCCGATTGGCCGCGAGGCGGCACCGCCCGCGCGTGCGGGGCCGTGGCGGCGGCGCGGGGCGCGCGGCGGGGGCGGGACCCGACGCGCGGCGGGGCGGGGCGCACAGGGCGCCTGCGCGGGGCGGGGCGGGGCGCGCGCGGCTATAAAGGGCGCGGCGGCGGCCGAGGAGCGGCAGTCGGGAGCGGGCGGCGGCGGGTGCGGGTTGGGGTGTGGGGCGGGGTCGCGGCGGGAGCGGCGGCAGCGCGTGCAGTGCGCGCGGGGGGGCGGGCCCGGCGGCGTTAACCCCCCCCCCCAGGCCATGGCCCGGGCGGCCTGAGCGGGGGCCGTCCCCATGCGGCGCCGGTAGCGCCCGTTCCCTGAGCGAGCGTAGCCGAGCGCAGCGCTATGGCCGACGSGGCACCGGCTGAACCGGGGCCGGAGCCCCAGTGCGAACCGGACCCTCGCTCCGAACCCGAGGTGCGGCCGGAGCCRCAGTCGGAGCCGGAGCCGCAGTCTGAGCCCGAGCCACAGCCCGAACCGCAGCCCGAGCGCGGAGAGGCGCCGGCGGAGGACGGCGATGCCGGGCGGCTGCCGCCCCCCGGGGCGGAGGCGGCGGCGGGCGGCGCCGAGGGGCGGCCGCCGGCGGGCGGAGCGGGGCGTCCCGGCCTGGGCCCGCGGTACCGGGCCGTGGGGCGCACCGAGGAGTGGCCGGTGAAGAAGAAGCACCGACGGCGGCCGTCGAAGAAGAAGCGGCGCTGGAAGCCGTACTCGAAGCTGAGCTGGGAGGAGAAGCAGCAGTTCGACGAGCGGCAGAGCCTCCGCGCCTCCCGGCTGCGGGCGGAGATGTTCGCCAAGGGRCAGCCGGTGGCTCCCTACAACACCACGCAGTTCCTCATGGAGGACCACGACCAGGAGGAGCCCGACCTGAAAACCGGGCTGTACCCGCGGCGAGCGGCCGCCAAGTCGGACGACACGAGTGAGGAGGATTTCCTGGACGACGCGGCGGACGAGGACGGGGGCAGCGACGGGATGGGGGGGGACGGCAGCGAGTTTCTGCAGAGGGACTTCTCGGAGACGTACGAGCGGTACCATGTGGAGAGCCTGCAGAACATGAGCAAGCAGGAGCTGGTGAAGGAGTACCTGGAGCTGGAGAAGTGCCTCTCGCGCATGGAGGAGGAGAACAACCGGCTCAGGATGGAGAGCAAAAAAGCCGGGGGGGAGGCGGCGGACTCAGCGCGGGTGCAAGCGCTGGAGCGGGAGGTGGACAGGCTGCGAGCAGAGAACCTGCGGCTGCTGCGGGAGCAGGAGCTGCCCCGGCAGGAGAAGGGCCCCTGCAAGCCGGGGGAGTGACACTGGGCACGGGGGCGCGGGGGGGTTTTTACAGTGCTGGGTGGAACATTCGGTCCTTGTACAGAGTCGCCGCGGACCCTTTTTATGGGCTAAATTGCAGCTGGGGGGGGGGG